AAAATGTGTAGATATGTTACTGTTAACAAGTTTCACCTAGTTTATCACTATCACTGACGTTGCTATGGGACTTTTACTATTTGAAAGATCTCTGAAGAGGCTTAAAGTTGCATGTTGAAAGCATTTCGAAATTTCTCCTACTTTAAAAGTTATGCTTGAAATCGTTAGAGCATATGTTATTGTTGATAGATTGTTACCAAATTTTGGAACTATCACTTCTGTTGTCACATACTTTTAAAAGGCTAAATGGAGCCCAAATACTTTCAAATCATAGTTTTTAGAAAGATCCACATTCTTAAACTTTGTTTGGAAATCATCTTGAAATGCTTCATGGATTGAAAGTTATAACTGTGCTAAGTAGGACATGTAACCGTCCCAACTGCATATCAGATTTCAGATGGAATGCCTCAATTCTATTAAGCTTTTGAAGGGCCAAACTAGGTCCAAACACTTTCAAACTACCCCCATTTGAAAGATATATGTGTCTAGTGTAAAATTGATTTTAAAACTATCTTCGAATTCCTAATGGATCAAAAGTTACAACCCTATTTATAACTAGACATCAGTGTCTGAAATTGCTAAAAATGTGACACTGTGATACTGATACTGTAAGCCATATTGATACAAACCAATACGCAATGGGCCACCCATTAGTAGTGGGTACTGTTATACTGTGACAATTGTATGTGACGAATGCATGTGATAGGTATCATGAGATAAGTGCATGCGATAAATGTGATATGAAGCACTATGCAATGGGTCATCCAATGATAGTGTGATGTGATTTGATATAATACTGATATATGTGATATGAAGCACTATGTATTGATAGTATGATGTGATTTGATATAATACTGATAAATGTGATATGAAGCACTATACAATGTGTCATTCATTGATAGTGTGATGTGATTTGATATAATACTGATAAATGTGAGATGAAGCACTATGCAATGGGTTATTTATCAGCGATATGTGATGTGGGAGCATGGACTTGTACCACGTTGATATGTGATGTGGGAGCATGGACTTGCACCACGATGATATGTGATGTAGGAACATGGACTTGCACCACGATGATATGTGATGTGGGAGAATAGACTTGCACCACGATGAGACCTTTCCCTGACTCCTGATGATAGGAAGGGAGCTAGGATGTCATATGAACTTGGGAGGGTCACTCTCCCCCTAAGATATATGGGCAGTATCCATTGGGACCCCTTTGGTAGTGTAGCACTCTCTAGCGGAGATGTAAAGAGAGGGTAGTGTCTTGCAAAACCAAGAGCCTATCAATAGCCCCAAAGCGCATTAGGGAGTACTTGTGTGTGTGAAAACAATACAAAGTGGGCCACCCACTTGTCATTGTTTTCCCTCTTGAGTGATGGTAGAGGTCTTAAACAATAGGATTGGCTTAGCCTGATGAGTAGGACTTCTATTTCGAGAGTGGGTGGACTAGGGAATGAGTTAACTAGTAATTGTGGTGTTTGGTTGAGCATGTGAATCTATTAGAATTGGTATTGTTAAATGAATAGATGATCTCGTTCCGTATCATATTTAGTGACACAATATATTATTGTTGCACTATGAATTATCTGTGGCACTGTAATAGATATGGCTTTGACATATGACTCATATTTTACTGAGGATTTTTATAATATCTTGAAATCGTTATGAAATGATATTCATAGGCAAGGAAGCAAGGTGTTATGATCCACTTACTGGGTTTTATAGCTCATTTCGTTTACTTCCCTCCTTGTAGATTGGCAGCTGCAGGTTGAGGATGTGCGAGAGGTGATTGAGGTTGGCAAGTAAAACTTTACGGTCGTCGAGGGGGCTTCTTTAGTATTGTAGGTGTCTGTTGGCTGTTGGTGATACAGTTGTTTTCAAATTGTATATGCTATGTTATGTTTGTGAGGCCTTGTTGCCCTAGACCAATTGTAATATTTTGGAGTATAT